GACCCCCTGCCCAGGAGCTGCATGGACTTAACCAGTGAGGATTTAGGTGACTTTGACATCAGGCCTACTCCCTCTTTAAGAGGTTGGGCACGGGAGGTGGTGTGCCCGTGACTCAGAGTAGTCATCAGAGACGAGAGAAAAGCGGGAGGTCTTTGGTGACCCAGCCCACCTTTTCACGAGAGGTTTGGTAGCCTGGTGGTTAAAGGTGTGGCTCTGGAGCCAGACTGCCTGGCTTCCGGTGACCTTGGGGCAAGTCCCTTATCCCCTGGTGCCTCAATTTCCTTGTTTATAAAATGGGGGATAGTTAGCTGCTAATGTTACTGTTTAATTATCATAATTATTGTGTGAATAGAGGCATTGGGGCTCAGAAAAGTAAGCCGATTTGCCTACGGCCATGCAGTCCTGAGTGCCAGCCGTGGGACTGGGACACAGCGCAGTAGCCCTGGCTGGTCTTACTGGAGCCCTGCAAGGTGGGGAGGAGGGACCAGTGGCTCAGGCGTCCCCTCCAGCCCACTGCTCTCCCCGCCCTCCCGTCTCCCAGTGAGGTCTCCAGTCCCACCCATGAAATTCCAGTGTTGTTACCTGGAATCTTGGGAATTTGCCCACCTGTAGAGTGGAGATAATTTAATCCTTTGGAAGGGCCACAATCTAGTCTCTGAGTGTGTCCTGGGTCCCTGGGCCTGAGCCAGGTACGGATTCTTTCATTCCTCCTTCCTCCTGCTGTGGAATTCTCTAGAGAAGGGGAGGAGTGACCAGGTTTGGCTCCCAGGATAAAGGAATGTGGGAATGGCATCCTTGGAGCCACAGGCAAGGCTGTGAGCTGCTGCTGTGGGTGGGGTGGGAGACCCTCGTGGCGTGTGGTGTTATGGTGGCCTCGCAGCCGCGGAGAGAGCTCCCGCCTGTAATGAGACCCCATGGGCTTCTGTCGCCCAGGCCTGACCCCTTCTCCCAGATGTGGGCGATCCCAGGCGCCCTGCTTACCGTGTGGCTCTTCGTAGCTTGCTTCGTCATGTGCAGTAGGTAACCACGAACAACACTTGACTGTAAAGTAAATTCCTGACACTTTAGCAAACTGTTCAGGCAGGGCCTCCCATGGTCCAGCCCCGACCTGCCTTTTCTCCCAGCAAACACTTATCGATCATACAAAGTTCGGCCACCCTCCTGAGTCTGGGGCTGCCTCTCCATCGCACCTTCCCGCTGCGGCCCCTGCAGACCCGCCTCCGTCCCCCAGGCCCACCAGCACGTTCGCGTCCTCCTCAGTCCGAACGTTCTCTTCCTCTCCCTGCTCTGTTGGCTTTTTTTTTCTTCCCAGTAGAAGTCACACACGCACCTAGCAAAAAGGCAAACAGCATGGAAGGGCCTGTAAGACGGCTCCGTTTCTTGCTTGAAATACTGTCCCTCTTTCCAAGGGCAGCTCAGTTGACCCCTCTTCTGGCCCCCTTTCCCGAGTCAATGTGCTGCTGGCTCTGTGGCCTGTTCCTGGGAGCCGTGGTGTTTGCTGCTGTGGCTGCTTCTTTGTGGGGCGGAGGAGCTTGGTTTTGGATGTCTGGTTGGAATTTGTTTTCTGCTGAATAATTTGTGGAAGCTCTTAACTTAGTCTTTTTTTTTTTTCCAACTGAAATGTAGTTGATTTACACTATTGTGTTAGTTTCAGCTGGACAGCAGTGATTCAATTGTAAGATATGTTTTTTTCAGATTCCTTTCCATTATAGGCTATTATAACATACTGAATATAGTTCCCTGTGCTACACAGTAAAACCCTGTGATTCATCTATTTTATATATAGTAGTGTGGATCTGTTAATCCCATACTCCTCCCCCACCATCCCCCTTTGGTAACCAGAAGTTTGGTTTTTGTGTCTACGAGTCTCTTCTGTTTTGTAAATGAATTCATTTGTATTATTTTTTCGACTCCTTATGTAGGTGATATCATCCCTTTGTCCTTAGCAGTGTCCCCTGTGCACACCCCCAAGGGGCCCGAAGCTTTCAGGAATGTGTCTGGAGAGCATGAATGACAAATGGCAGGGACCCTTGGCAGTCCAGGCCCCGCACTGCGGAGGTGGCAGGTAACCAGGAATGCCTGAGGGTGGCTGGTCCGATGGGCAGGGCAGGTGTGACTTTGTGAACATTGAGCCCCATGGGAGATGAGTGAAAAGGCGGAGCAGGCTTGAAGGTTTGCTCTCCTGTGTGTGAACCCATTTCCTCCCACCCTCCTCCGACACTGGGGCCTCCTGAAAGCAGGGGCACTTACTCAGGCCTGATGTAGTGCGAGGTGTGTTCCCACCACCTCCTCTCTTTCCTGTTCAGCTTTGCTGCCTGGTTTTCCAAGGAACTGGTCCTCTTGCTGCCGTCATATAGAGGTGTCGGGGGGCTTCAGAGTGCACCACCCCACCACATGCTCCCGATATGCAGTCATTCTCCCCAACGCCCCCCCTCTTTTGAGGGGGAGGCCAGGACTGCCTTTGAGGAGTCCTTTTTCTCTTGCTGGTTCTTAATATGTAAACGGATGGAGTTTTCCTTTCGATTAGAAAGACAGAGACAAAGTATATTCTCCCTAGGGTTACACTTTTGCCCTTTAGGAGATGTAAAAAGACGTGATTCAGAATTTTGAACTTGGGAATAAACTTTGATGTGCCTTGGAGTGCCGAAAACAGCGCAGTTCCCATTAAAGGATTTTCTGCCTTGCTCCGTTCCTGGTTAATGGGAGGAGAGTGATGCTGGATGATGTCCCATGCCTTGTTTTTTTATTATTCCTGCATGCATTTTCAAAGGGCCAGGACATGATTGTTGGAAGCACCATCGGGAGTCCAGCCCCTGTAATGATCGTGTGATGAGGGTGCAGGGTCCGTCCGAGTCAGGACGCTGGCTATTTTAAACTCCAAGTGCTGAAAGTTTTACTGTGTGTGCTTCCCTTGATGTGGTTTGGGTTTCTTCATCTATTGTGCGTGCCTCCTAAGGAATCTGGAAGGTGAGAGAGGGCTTTCCAAGCCCTGGATGAGGTCTGTGGCTTTGCTCCGGAAGACAATCCTTTGCCCACAAAGCACTGTGCCAGAAAAAAAAAAAAAAGCCTCTCCCCTGTGGCCTGCGTGGGAAGCGGCTCCTGGCCTGCCGTCTCTGCCCTGGGTGGCTGTTTGTGAAGCTGGAGTGTCATAAGCAGGCAGACCCCAGTGTAGCTGCACACAGTGCGTTGGATGGGCTGTGGGTTGAAATGGGCCAAAGGGGGAGGCCTTACATCCATGGGTGGGTGGTTGTGGGACTTGGAAAATAGAGAGGGGGCTGGGGTCTGGCCCTGCAGCCTGGCTTAGGCATTTTATCATAGTTCAACTTAGTGATGTCAGTGCTACTTGGAAACACTTGGCAGAAGGAGAGAACTGACCTCACCAATTTGGTTTTTAATTCTGAAGCAGGCGCTGGTAGGCAGATCCTAATAACATTGTTTGGCGTTTTCCTAGCACTTTCTCGGTGCTTGAACCTTATTTCCGTTCTCTGGGAGGAAGTCTGGAGCAGAGATTCCTGGGCGGCCTTCTGGAGCGCAGCCCTGGTCCCTCTGTGGGAGGGGTGCCCGCCCATTGTGTTGTGCTGTTTGTTTGTTCACACCGTGAACTGGGAGCCCCGTGCGCGCCCATCCCTGCCCTGTCTCCCCATCACCCCTGCCTCCAAGTAAGAGCACAGCAGATGCATTTGAATGGGTGAATGGGTAGATTTTGCACCATCTTCTCCTAGGCCTGGAAGTGCCCCAAGTCATGGAAGTTTTTTATAGTATTACTTGGTTTTTATTTTTGAGACATTCAGCAAGAAAGGGTGGGAATCTCCAGCCGTGTCCCGGTCAGGAGGGAGGACAGTGGCCGAGTGGTGCTGCAGGTGCGGGGCCAGGCTGGGCTGCCCTCTGCAGGACCCTCAGGAAGGTCCGAGGTCTCCCTGCCAGGCTCCGCTTGTCCCCTTTTTTTCTGGTCCTGGACCAGATCTGTGACTCATTATCCACGTGATCTTGGGCAAGGCCCTTTCCCGTCCTGGGCCCCCGTTTCCCATCAGAAAAGGTGGGTGCTGAGCTAGACTTGCTCTCTGCCCAGGCCCTTGCTGCTCCTGTTATATGATCCTGTGAGCTCACCTGGGGCAGAACACCCTTTTTCCACTCACTCCCCCCTCTTCCTGTCAATAAGAGACCAGTCCTACAAGGCAGGCTTGTCCTGTTTGTGTCTTCTTAGGGCAGAATTTGAGTAAAGGGCTTGACCTGGCTGTTCTAGCCTTGTTGGGAGTTGATGGAGCCAGTTCAGCACAAATACGGTGTTTGTACCATTGGCGTGGAGCCCTGTGGAATCGCTGGTCTAGGGCTGGGGGGCGGGGAAGGGGGGACTTGCTCAGTGAGTGGCAGAACCAGGCCAGAGACCCAGGTCTCCCGATCTCAGGGCCCTAGCACCTTCCTCCATCCTGGCCCTCTGAGAGCAGCAGCAGTTATGCAGTAGACGTGGAGTAAGTCTCCATCACTCGCAGCACCGGGCTCAGGGCTCCTCCTGCTTACTTGCAGCCCTGCCCCCTTCTCAGGCCTCATCTTTCAGGCTGTTCCCTGGGGCCCGCTCTCTGCAGGCGCTGCCCGAGGGGTCCTTCTCACACCTGGAGCCAGTCTCTGCACTTCCTGCTTCCAGGGTGTGTGCGGTCGGTCAGCTGCAGCTGTGTTTCCTCAAGTGTGTTCTGCAAGGTGTGACTGGTTATGCAGTGAGACGAGGCTTCCTTTTGCCACAAACAAACCTTGAAGAAGTGCCTGCATACGAAGGGCAACAGCCTGCTTTCCTGAAGGGCTTCCTGGCATCTTCAATATGCTAATGGGCATTGTGAATTTCCAAGAGGGGAGAATGAAAATGCAGAGAACGGGAACTGACTATGAGGCAACAGGAGAGCCACGCAGCTTGGCGGGAAGCAGAAACTGAAACCCAGGACAGGAAAGGCTGTTGGTGAAATTCTCTTGTCTCCGTTTTCTTGTTTGCTTTTTAATCTTTGCCCTCTCTCTGGGCATCCTGATTTCATTTTCTTTTGCCTTCTCTCCACCCTCACACCCTGACTTTTTTTTTTAATTGCAGTAAAATACACTTAACATCAAACGTACTGTCTTAACCATTTTTAAGTCTCCTGTTCAGTGGCGTTAAGTACGTTTATATTGTTTTGCTACCATCATCACCATCCTTCCACAGACCCCTACGTCTTGCAGACCCCAAGTCCTACTCATTAAACAATAACTCCCCATACCCCCTCCCCCGCAGCCCCTGGCAACCACCATTCTGCCCGAGGGGTCTCCAGGACCTCTTACAGGTGGAATCATATACTATTTGTCTTTTCACTTAGCTTAATGTCCTCGGGTTCACCCGTGTGGTAGCATGCATCGGAATTTCCTTTTTTGAGGTGAATGATATTCCACTGGGTGGATGGACCACATTCTGCTTATCTATTCATCCATCAGTGGACACTTGGGTTGTTCCCAGTCACCCCTAACTTTTTCTCCTCCTTTGATCCACAGATAGCTAGAAAATGCCCAGCCCTCAGTTGTATATTTTACCGGCAGAGTCACAGAAAAAGAGAAAAAGGCACTACATTGATTATCTCCTCTCCAGCCCTGGCCCCTGCTGCCCGACCCTTTTCCTCAGCTCTTTCTGACAGGTCCTCCCCATTCCTCCCTTATCTTTCCTTGTTTACTTTCTGTCTCCTGGCGCCCGGCCCCCAGTGGTGCCCCCTGCAGGCAGGTTGGAGAAATGAAGGTGCCCCAGGACTAAGGAGGCGCTGGCCCCAAGCCTGGCCGCGGGGGCGTCACTGGGTCCTCCGCGCTCATGGGCCCCTTGCCTCTGTCCCACTGAGTATGGCCTGCCCTTGAGTAGCCCAGCCCCCGAGGACAGAGAAGTCCACTGAGTGCACGTACCCAGCTGTCCTTTTCTTTTCCACAGGAGGATGGTGCCTTTTGGTTCAGTATTTACTCCGCTGCCTCACCCCTTATTTTAAGAAGGGGAGATGAGAAATCAGTCCCAAATTCCCCTTGTAAGTCTGCGTGCGCTGGCTGATGTCAGTGAGCAGCCTTGGAGAGGAACCCCCCTGGTTCCTTCCGGGGTGGGGAGGGAGGGGACAGTCATTGTTGACTGCCACCCCTAGCCAGGGGATTCCTCAGTTACCTCTCTCTCTGCCAGCAGCTCTCTGGGGGTTTATTCCACACCCCAAGTTTAAGGAACCTTCTTGGGGTTCTGGAGCTAGAATTCAGACCGACGTCGGCTTGGCTGGCTCTCGGCCTTGGCACCATGTGCCCACTGCTTCCTGACCCTGCTCTTCCCCGACCCCGGCCTCCCAGCCACCCCTCCCCACCTCCTCACATAACCAGAGGTGAATCCATTACTACCAAGGCTGGGTGAAGACGTTACTAGAAAATGCTGGGCCTGGAAGGGGCCTTTATTTAAAAGTTCTTCAAACTGAAGGATGACCAGAATTGTCTGGGGAATTAAAAAAATATTTTTGAATCCATGCATGTTGGGCGGTGCCCCGATTAGGTATTTTTAGACATTTCCCAGGTGATTTTGATGATCAGCTGCTGTGCTGATCCTCCAGTTGAGGACACCGGGGACCAGAGAGATGAGATGCCACAGCCGAAGCCATGTGGCCCTGATGGAGCCAGTCAGGTCCTGAATCTGGTCTCCCGGCTCCTCTCTCTGGTCTCGTGTGTTTCTCGCACGGCCATCCCCCTCTGCTTGCAAGGGGCTGCTGGGACCCAAGGGAGGCCACCCTCCAGAGGCTGGTCTTGCCACCCTAGGCCAGAACCCAGGAGGAGGAGGCACAGGAAGTTGCTTCAGACCTTTGCCAAGGCGGGCCTCTCCCCTGGGAAGGGGGCTGGCAGGAGCCACCTCCTGTCGACAGGCCAAGGTCGGCCCCCGGGGCAGGCTGCCTCTGTTCCACCTGTCGCTCAGCAGCTCACACTCTGGGGTTGAGAAATGAAGCCAGATGTGGACTTTTCATCAGTAAGGAAAGCTCTAGATGTAAATAGTGATGGGAGGGACAGGTAACTCCAGGAAAGCATGCTCGTGATGGGGGTGACATGTGGGGAAAGCTGGTCTCTGCTCAGGGAGGCAAGTCTCTACACAGGAAGAAATGAAGAACAAGACCATACATTTCAGTGCTAACTTGTAAAGACGAAGCATAAAAAGTGTTTAGGGGAGATGAGGAGGTGAGGGATGGAGGATTCTGGGGAGATTTCACTGTTGGGGCTGAATGGAACTTTCACAACATAGGTCTTAGATAAATGAGGACACAGGAGACTTTAGAACCAGAATGGGAACCTTTGAATAATAATAATACTTCTGTTTGACTTGGTCTCTGAGTTTACTAAGGGTTTTCACACACATTGTTTCATTTGATGCTTGCAACAACCCTATTTTTTAAATTGAGGATCCTGAAGCCCAGAGAGGTTAAGGGACTCATTAGATGTCACACAGCTTGCCAGTGGCTGGGCAGATCAGCTTGCTCCAAATCCTGCCCCTCATCTTGTCCCCCCCCTTTTCTAGGCATGATGAAATTCATGCGAATGTGTGTATGTGTGTATTGCTTGTGGGGTGGAATTACTCCAGAAAGGAGAAGAATCAAATTTTCCTTCACCCAGAGGTCCTGTGAAATTATGAAAATGGCCTGTTTTCTCTCACTCTCTCCCTGGGTACATCCTTTCCCTCTTTAGCATCCTTGTTAATCCCACTCTTTTCTTATTTTCTTGCCCTCCCCCAGACACGAATGCAGAGTTTGAATCCAGATCCCAAAGCCCATTACACAAGTGTCTACGAAGCCCTCAAGAAAATCATACGGACTGAAGGCTTCTGGAGGCCCTTGCGAGGCCTCAACGTGATGATGATGGGTGCGGGGCCCGCCCACGCCATGTATTTTGCCTGCTACGAAAACATGAAAAGGACTTTAAATGCCGTTTTCCACCATCAAGGGAACAGCCACCTAGCCAACGGTATTTGCAAGCGTTTGTCTGGAGTTAGAAAGGTCTCTCCTTCAACAGACCCTTCCCCAGGGTTCTCCTCCCTGTGACCCAGCAGCCTGACGCCTCATCTCCGCCACGCTTGCTTATGAACCAAGGACTCCAGCTAGAGGAGTGTGTGCACACACACCCTGACACACGCACACATACACACACACGCACGCGCACTTTTTTCCATTCCCCTCCTTCGCTTTCTGAAGCCTGGGGAAAATCGGTGACAGAGAGTTTCAGTTTTCATTGTTGAGTGGTTTTGCCATTTTGTTTTTGCTTTTTAAAAAAAAAAAAATTCCAAAGCAATTAATGATCAGATCTAGGAAAAAAAAAACCAAAACCCTGAATAGAAACAAAACTTTTGAATGCTGGATTCCAAAAAAAAAAAAAAAGCTATCTGGACAGCTTCTTTGAGACTATTTAAAACTGGCCCAACAGGTCTCAGCAACGTCAAGATCTAACTAAGCTTTAAAAGGTCAAGAAGTTTTATGGCTGATGAAGGATTTGCTCCGGCGCAGAGGACCTTCCCCACCTAAGCTTCTGGGAATTTGGGAATTTCACCTCTATTCTCTTCCGTTTGTCTGAGTTGCATCTGTCTGCAAGCAAGGGCTGAAAGCATTTTCTTTGGTTGTTCCGAGGGGGCCAGGCGGGCGGGGGGCCTGAGTTGGCCGCTGGCCGGTCCGCCGGCTTGTCTGACTGGGCCCGGGCTGAGCGGCTGTTTTAGCCTCCTGTGGGTTTGGCCTTTGTTTGGGTCTGGAATGGGACAGTGGAGAAGCGGGCTTAGGAGTCCTTTAACAAAATTCTTTTTCAGCAGCCGGGAGGTAGATGGAACTGGCAACAGCCTTTTACCCCCTTCTCTGTTTTACTCAAAACCAAAGAGCTTCTCTCCCATCAGCAAACCCCGGTGGTAGTAACGCTACCTGGCTGGTTTGCAGATATTCGCTCTGCTTTTTAAAAATCAGCCTCTAGTTGCATCTGTTGAAATGGCCACTAAGATCCTCTCTCTGATACTGTCCCCGAGTCCTTTTGCCTTTTTAACTCCTTGGTCACTGAACCCCTTGAAAGCGGTTTGTTGGAGCCCAGTTTATGTTAAGTTCGGCCCGGCGCTGTTACTGCTTCACAGCGGTGCGTGCTGTGGTTGTGCCTTTCTGGGGATAATCCGAAGTGCGTGTGGAGGAGGGAAGGGGTGATATATGCACTTCATGCATGTCTGAAGCCTTAGCCAGTATCCTGGCTCCTCCCACCTTCCAGCCATAATCTTAATTACAGGGCCTTGTCACTCAAGAGGGAGGAACCCCAGAGCCAAAAGCAAAATTCCAGGCCTCAGTCAGGCTTTTGAAGTTCCTGCTTCTGGAAGCCAGGCCAGATGAGACCCTCAGATGGGGTCAGTGGTCTCGGAGACGTGTCATCACTTTGCAAACTGACCCTGGAAATCCCCCATATGCAGATGTTCCTGATGGTCTTTTTATCTTGGCCATTAAAAACAAAAGCCTGAATTTTATTAATGAATGTTCTTAGAGATTTCTCTTCTTTTTCCCCCCTCTCTGCTCTGTACATGATAATTGGCCCTTTCAGTGGCCCCAGTTTAAGGGCAGAGGGAGTTAACATGTAGACAGAGGCAAAGGACGAGAGAGAATGAAAATCTCGGTGCTGGAAAAATCTGCTGAGTGTGGTTTCTGGTCCCAAATCCAGTGTTAGGAGGTCTAACCTTTTCCTTGAGAAAATGGGGTTCCTGCAGGATTGAAATGTGGGTAACGGTGCCTGTGTTCCCTTCCCCATTTTTATCCAGTATTTCCGTGATCACTTTAGCGTTTTAAGAGTCAGTGCTCACCTGGGTGGAGTTGGTAGTGAATTTTGTTTCTTAGAAAGCTAGGTCCAGGGTCCTGTCTGATTCTAGGTTCCAGGAACTGCCTCAGAACCCCTGGTCCCAGAGGGTAATTTTCTGGAGTTTGTTTTGCAGGGATAGCTGGGAGTATGGCCACCCTGCTCCACGATGCGGTAATGAATCCAGCAGAAGGTAATGTTTCATGGTCCCAGGGAGTGGCAGTAGGGGATGTGCAGCGGGGCTGGAGAGGTAGGGGGTGGGGACAGAAGGTCCGGCAAGGAGACTCCTGGCCCCCAGTCAGAATAAGCAGGATTCTTTACCATGTTGTCAAAGGTCTCAAGAAGGGACGTGAGTGGTTGAGCTCCGGTATTCCTGTTCTCTTAAACGGAGCGACTCCGGATGTGATCCCCGGACCACAGCATCGGTATCTCCCGGGAGCACGTTGAAAATACTGATTCTTACGTTCCCACCCCTGGCCTCCTAAATCAGAATCTCTGGGGGTACGGACAGGATATCTGCTTTCACAAGCTCTCCTGGGGACTCTTTTGCATGCTTTTGCATTACTCTGAAACCTGTGTGTGCATGCGTGAGTGGGAGCGCACACACACACACACACACCTGCTGGCCCTTGTTAACCATTATCAACCCTAGACAAATTTAGAAGGAACCTGTCAGAGGCCATTCATGAGGGCTTATGTTTAATTTGCTTTTTGAAAAGAAATGTAAAATTATTATGGAAAATTTCAGAGGCAAATGTAGGGAGAGGAGTATTATGAACCCGCATGTACGCATCAGCCAACTGCATAAATTAACGTTTGCCCATTTGGTTGTAGCTCTCTCCTCCCATGTTACCTTTTTCCCTCCTTTTGAGTTTTGGGAGCGTATAAAGCAATTCTTAGCTGTGCAGACGAGCTCTGTCGGCTTTGTCTGTATCTTCGGGTCCTTAGCCGACTGGGGTCTGGTCCTGGGCGGTCTTTTAGGTGGGTTCGTCTGTGTGAGGTGTGGGACCCTTTCCACTTTTCTCCCCTGTCTGAAGTTGATCCCTTGCCAGAAGGGAGAACTGGAGGTAAAAGGTTCAATATTTTAAGTCCTGTGTTATAAGTTCGTCTGTTTTTGTCTTTTAAGGTTAAATGTTATTTGCTCTCAGCTGCCTCCCGTGTCCCAGCAGATAGAAAACTTGCTCTGACCTTCAGGGGCGTGATGGGTCAGACTGGGAGGTGGACTTTTTTGTGTGTGTCTAAAGCGATTCAGATCGGGACCTGGCCAGTGACCAGTTAGTTAGGCCATGTTAACCAGGCAAGAATTTTAGTTTTTTTTTAAAGGAAAAAAAGTGAGATTCAACTACCCCCTCTTCTGCCTGATGCTATACTGACTTAAGAATTTTATTTCTTTAAAAGTAAAGAAAAGCACACTGTATGTGTCCATCTTACAATGCGTGGGGACAGTTAAAACTCTAAGCCTAAGGGACCACAGTTGGCTCTCATTTGCCCCATGTCCTTTGAACCACCAGTTAGTTTTGTGTTAACCAAGACCAGGGTCTTCCCTGGAGTTTGTCACTGAACTTGAGTGGACAAGATTCTATTGTCTCTCCCAAGAGCCTTGAGACACAGAAGCTAAAAACACTATCAGAGGGACAGACCACTGAGGATAAAAAATGGAACATGTGTCCAGTGGACAAATTGAGACAGGAGGACGGAGGGGCCAGGAGCAGGGTTTAGATTGGCGACGAGTGTGATGCCCGAGGCAGCTAGGACCTGGGGAGATCAGTGCATCTATCTAGTCTGAAGTGGCTGCCTGGTTCAGGGGCCACCCTAACCAAAATTCAGGCAGGAGAAACTTCAGGAGACAGCCCCCTCCTGGCAGCGGGTCCCGGAGGCAGGTTTTTAAACGGGACAGCCTGGAGGTGGCCCTCGGCGGTTTCTCAGGCTGGGGCTGGGTGTGCGCTGGCCCCCGTGCACCAGTGTGTCTAAACTTGCTTGTTTCTCTTTACGGCTTGGCTTCCCATCTCACTCCGACGCGGGGTGGGGCCAAACCCGACCACCCGCGGCCCGGCCACAGTCGTGAAGCAGCGTTTGCAGATGTACAACTCGCCGCACCGGTCGGCCCTCAGCTGCATCCGGACAGTCTGGGGGACGGAGGGCGTGGGGGCCTTCTACCGGAGTTACACCACGCAGCTGACCATGAACATTCCCTTCCAGTCCATCCACTTCATCACCTACGAGTTCCTGCAGGAGCAGATCAACCCTTACCGGGACTACAACCCCCAGTCCCACATCATCTCAGGCGGGCTGGCCGGGGCCCTCGCCGCCGCCGCCACCACCCCGCTGGACGTCTGCAAGACCCTCCTCAACACTCAGGAGAACATGGCCCTCAACCTGGCCAACATCAGCGGCCGGCTGTCGGGCATGGCCAACGCCTTCCGGACGGTCTACCAGCTCAACGGCCTGCCCGGCTACTTCAAGGGCGTGCAGGCGCGTGTCATCTACCAGATGCCCTCCACGGCCATCTCCTGGTCCGTCTACGAGTTCTTCAAGTACTTCCTCACCAAGCACAAGCTGGAGAACCGAACTCTATACTAAAGGAACGGGGCCGCGGCAAGTGATTCCAGAATCTTCTGTTGGGCAAAGGCTCCCCCTGCCTGCTTCCATTCCCGTGCCCTCACACCAGGATTTCTTTCGGCAGGGTGTTGGCAGGGTGGGGCTTCCGCTCCCTGATGCCTTAGAGAGAGGAGGGGATGGGACAGCCGCTGACCCGCCGGCCGTCCGCAGGGACATCCCAGCTGGCGGAAGGAGGGGAAAGACTTGGGAAGCGGAGGGAGAAGTTGCTTTTTCTCTCTCGCCCCCGAGAGTGATGCAGCTTTTCTGCTTCACTGTAGCATCTCCTCCCCTAAAATCATAGATCACACAGGAGGGAAGAAAATGTGCAGTGACTGAAAACATTAAAGAGGAAAACAAAAATGATGTATATAGAAGTTCCAGTATACAGTATCAAATAGATGGATAATGTTTATCCTTTATTTTTCTATGGAGACATTTTTGGGTTTGTGTGTGTGCCTGTGTGTGTGTACAGACAAGTGTTAGAGCTGGGACTAGAGCTGGGGTTTTTTTTGTTTGTTTTTTGTTTTTTTTTAAACAGAGGGCTGAATTCTTCCATCGGGTTAAGCAAAAAAGGCACCAAAGTCATAAATTGCTCCACGTGGCCTAAAACTGTTGAGCCCCTCAGATGGAAGTTCCACTTGAATGTAAAATAATAAATACAAGGTTTATATTTTGAATTTCTCTTTTCGTGGGGGAAAAGGTACGTTGAAAAAAAAAGTCAAAATAATGATATATTACTTCTAACTACTTTTTTTTCCCCCTTTTATTCAATCAGTTGCCTTCATGTGCTTTCTCCCTTTGTCTTTACTAGAAATTCCAGGACCAAAGATCTGGCCCTGGGGCTTTTCCTCTTGCTGTGTGCACCCCTCCCCCACCCGACTGGCTGGCAGCATGGCCCACATTGGGAGGACAGTGGGCCCCAGTGGAATTAGGGTGGCGGGCCTTGGACTTATTGAGACCTTTTCCTTTCCTTGTGAGTGATGTGAATGTATGCCTTGCGGGGCCAGCACTTAGAAGCCCTTGAAATGCCAGCATTTAGCTACTTACAGGGCAGCAAGCGAGATAAGTCCTACCTTGATCCTCCGGCTTTAATGCTCCACCAACCTTTTACTCAGGCACTTCGGATATTCTTGTCTGTGTGGGTTTTGACGAAATCTCCCGATCTGTCTTATGTTTCCCTGTGCAGTTTTAGCGCTTTTAAAAACCACAACAAGTGTGTCTATGGCGTTTGCCTGCCCCCCTGCCCACCATGAGTTTCCCCGTCAGGCCGGGCCCCCCAAGTCCAGCTACTGAAGGCATCTGGGCCCCGGTGTCCAGTCAGGGTACCTCTGAGCCTTCTCCATCCTTGCTCGGTCCGTGCCCTCTGAGACCACGAACTGCCTTGTTTTCTGAAATGGTGCATCTGAGCCAGATGATCACTAAGAGCAAACGCAAGCCTGTTTCCTCTGGCCACACCCTTCCATGGGCTGCCAGGCCTCTCTCCAAGGGAAGACCCCTGGCTTCAGTTTCCTTTCCGATCCTGTCTTTCAGAATGAGCAGGAAGCGTGTGTGTGTGTTTCCATTCTCCCTGGCTTGGTCCTGACCTTCACCCTTCGCCCTTCTCCCTTCACCCTTGGCCTTAGGCAGGGTCAGTGTCATGCATTCTCATCAGACTCAGACCTGGGCTCCGCTGGATGCCGTGACTCCTGGGAAGAGCTCAGGTGGCGCTGGGACAGCCGGCCTCCTGGGACCCTGTGCTTCTGGGGGTAGTTTTCAGGTCTGGGGCAGGAGCGAGCCACGTCAGGCAGCTCCCACACGTGCCTGCTGTGCGGGGTCTTCTGGGCTGAGGGGCCTGGCTGCTGACCTGTCCCCCTCAGAGTCAGCCCACCCCCACCCCCAGTGGAAATCAGTTGCAGCAAGCTCCTGTCCCACTCAGGGATGCAGAACACCCAGGGACGCCAGGCTGCTGCAGGAACTGTTTACATCTCTCTAAACATGCCTCCCCGCCGCCCTTAGAGTTATGTTCTGCAAACGGAAGAAAAACTAGATCAAATTCTAAGATAATTACCACCCACCCCTTTCCGTCCACTTAAGAGACGCCGCACTGCTGCAGAATATTCCTTATTTCTGATGGGATTTTGTTTCCAGTGGTATTCTGGGAAAGCTCCTTTGGGTAGGGAGATGTGAGGAGAGGTGGTGTCTCAGGATTTCAGAGTCTGCAGGCTCAGAGTCCGGGGGTCTGATCCTGGCTTTCCTTTCGCAGTGCACAGGGATGGGCTGGGAAGTGGGGCTGATGCCACCTGTCCTGCCTTACCCGCTGGGTCTTCCTGAGGCTGAATGAGCGATGTATCTGCAAAAGCTTTGAAAGTTGTGAAGCACTAGACAAATGTAAGTGGTCATTAATTTCATAGGAATTAGCCACCTCCCTGCCTCGCCCTGAGCTCCAAAGCTTGTGTGACTGCCCCATGCGGACTGCAGCCCCATTGTTGCTTGTGACTTCGACTTTGCAAAGAACTAAATAGGAATGTGTTCTCCCCACACCCCGCCCCCGGTGGTGTCTTGGTCATTAGTGTCTTTGGCCTTTGGGGTGACGTCTGCCACCAGGCAATGCTACTTGAGTACAATACTCATCGTGTGTGTGACTCTTCTGCTCAGACCATGATTTGAGATCCAACCACTTGATCTGAACTTTACTTTTATTTTTGAATTAAAAAATTGATTTTTTTTTCAAAAGGGGTAAATCTTCAACCCGTGACTATTTTTTCTTCATTTTGGATTCAATCTATTTCCTGGCTTACATCCTTTTGTGTGGGTTCTTTTTCTTTTTCTTTTTAAAAAATGCTGATGTTTTATTCCAAGTGCTGTCCTCCAAAGCCCCGTGAAGGCTGTATCTGCCACACATTGTTACGCCAAGAAGGTTTTATTTAACTTTTTATTTAAGGAAACCGAAGTGTACTGCTGCTGCCCGCCTGCCGGGGCGATGTGTGTGATCCCGGCGAGCAAGTGTTTCTGAAACGCCTGTAGTAAAAATCATGCTTTCTGCCTCTGGATTGTTGCCAGCTCTTTGAAGAAGGGGAGAAATGTGTGTTTACACGTGGGG